TTAATAGTTTAGTTATTTATTCTCGTTTTTTAAAATTCAAAATATAACCTATACGAAAAAATCTAAAGTTTAATTTTATAGCTAATTTGATTGTTTAATTTATTTTAATAATATAAAATTAAAGAAAAATGATGGAGGATATATAAACTGTTATCAAATATTTATTATTAGAATCATTAAGTGTCATATATATATATATATTAGTCAATTATGGTAATTCCGTAGGTTTTATTTATGGAAAGAAAATAAAATAGTAATTTTATCTAGGGGAACAATCATAAATGATTCTATCATAAATATCATATCATATCATCATATCATATAATTTGACCAACGAATGTATCTAGCGACATATAAAAATCGAATGTGGACCTACTTATTTTTCAATTGAATGTAATTGACTACCTAATTGAGTGACACCTAAGCATGGGGTCCTTTTTAATTATTACAAAATTAAGGTTACAATTTTTTAAATGTTTCTCCTTTAATATATAAGGGATTAGGAATTTCATTTCAAACTTCTCTGATTGTAGGTATAAGAAAATCAAATTGTATAACAATTAAAAATTCATAATTTTAGTATGTATTTTATTCAAAAATAAATTACAAAAGAAGGATTCATATTCCACATTTGTAATCTATACGAACTGGGAAACACATTTGATTGTATGTAAACCATATAAAATCTTTGATTTCTGAGACAATTTGATTTGTGATGTCTAACCGGAATACAATGAGACAGATTTTATTTATGATGAATATGAGTGGTATCAAGTTACCAATGTGACCGTGTAAATATAATGTTATGGTTTAGGTTTAACAGAAACTAGGATAAGATCCGCGCTTTGCGCGGGATAAAGTTATTATTTTTATTATGTTTTGGAAAATGAAACAAAAGTTCGGTTTCATCTAGATTAAGGATGTTCAATCTGGATATCGGGTTTCGAGATTTTGGTTATTAAAATATAACTACTATTCTAAATCCATATTTACTTCAGTTTGATTTGGTTTATACATTGGTTTTCAGTTTATTCAATTTTATACCAAAATACATCATTATTTAGTTTGAAATCATATTATATATTATAAAAATAAATAATATGATCATATTTAGAGTCATATTGTCAAAAAGTCATTTACTATAAAAAATATTATATATTTAACTATAAGAATAAAAAACAAAAAAAAGGCTTCTATGATCTAATAAAATGATCAAATCTAGAATTAATATCAAATCTCTAAATTTTGAAAATAAAAATAAAAACAAAACAGAAGCATGAAAGAAATTTTTTTATATTCTTCCATATTTAGTGTTCATCAAATTAATATGTCTTCGATTGAACACAACTCTGTTTGTTTAAAGATTAAAAAAGATTGTAAAGAATTTCAACTAATTGTTGTCCATCAAATTTATAATTTTTACTTCAATTTAGTTTTTATTAAAAAAAAGGAAAAAAAGATAAAAAAAGACGAAGAAAATAAGAAGCCTCATTTGCATTAAATTGTTAGTTAATTATATTTCAAGTGATTCAAGTGATTTACAAATCATAATTATAGTTCAACTCATGTAACAAATAGATATACATATTTACATGTTTCAGTTTAATCGATTATAAATCAAACCATATCCAAATTTTACGGTTTTTATAAATTCACATACATTCGGTTTGTATAATATATACCAAAAATAACCATATTATCGATTGTGTTAATATCTTTAAAAAATAGAAAATTAAAAAAAAAGAACTAATATATTTAAATCATTGATAACAAAAATTTTCAATGTGAAAAGTTTAATACGTTTATAAATTATAAATGTTCTTGAAAATTCATTGAAATTTTTGAAACTAAAATAAGTATGTAATCTTATATGGTATCTAGTTTAATCTATATATATATATATTTTTTTTTTATTATTGAATGATACTTTTTACTCATATGGTTTTAAAATCATGTGTATCTTTTTATAATAAAAATGTTAAACTATTGATCATTAATTTTAACATAATAATTTTAATAGTTTTAGTCATTTATTCTTGGTTTTTTAAAATTCAAAATATAATATATACAAAAAAAATTTAAAGTTTAATTTTATAGCTAATTTGATTGTTTGATTTATTTTAATAATATAAAATTAAAGAAAAATGATGGAGGAGATACAAATTGTTATCAAATATTTATTATTAGAAACATTAATTGTCATATATATATATATATATATATATATATTTGTCATTTATGGTAATTCCGTAGCTTTTATTTAAGGAAAGAAAATAAAATAGTAATATATCTAGCAGGACAATCATAAATGCTCTATCATAAATATCATATCATATAGTTTGACCAACAAATATATCTAGCGACATATAAAAATTGAATGTGGACCTACTTATTTTTCAATTGAATGTAATTGACTACCTAATTGAATGACACGTAAGCATGTGCTCTTTTTTAATTATTACAAAATTGAGGTTACAATTTTTCAAATGTTTCTCAATTAATATATAGGGGATTATTGCTTTGGTAAAATAATATAACTCACCAAACAATCGACTTGAGGTGGTTAGGTTAAGTTGTTTAAGATGATGGTTAAGTCGTGTCAATTGATTAAATCAAAAGCTAAAATTTAGGTTGTGTGGTAAAGTTGCCAAAGATGATTTTTTTCCAGCACAAAAAAAAATAACAATCACAAGAAAATACTTTAGTTATACATAGACAATTGGAGACCTCTTGACTACAATGCATTACAACAGTGGAAGCTTTTTTCCTTTAACTGTGGAAAGATTATCATTGTTTACCACTCAGAACTAATGCTCGACGTTTTTTTATGCTTTCCACGACGTTCTTTCAACATCCTTAAGCTTCTCTATCGTCACATTCTCGTTGTTAGACTTTGACACAGACCCTTCTTGAGCACTGTGCATTTGATGTGACTTCAGCTTAATACCAAACCACGTTTTGCTACCGCTTCTCAAACCACCACTACCACCACCACCTTTTGCCGTCTTACCAAGCTTCTCAATCTCCTATTTCATATTAGAATATTATTTCTCTAACTTACAAACCCGCATTCTCATACTATCCATTCCAAGATTCAAGACTTGATTCTCTCTTACCGCAGTTGCTCATCTCATGCTCAAAGAAC